CGCGCCGCCCGCCATGGGCGCCCAGCTGGCGGGGCCCGGGGTGGGCCCGGCCCCGGGGGCATGGCCACGGAGCGTGGGCTCGGAGCCGGCCTTGGCGCCGGGAACAGTCACCCCGCAACTCCCCAGAAACGGGAAACGGACGCGCTTTCAAGGAGAAGTCGGCTCCCGCAAGATCTCGCCGAGATCCTCTGACATAAGCAAATTCCAGGAACTAATACAAAGAGAGAAGGCTCTGGTTTGGTTTGGTTTTGTCTGCTGGGGATTTTTTTGGGGGGGTTTGTTTGGTTTTGGTTTTGGGTTTTTTTTTGTGTCGGGTGTTTTGGTTTTGTGGGCTTTGTTTATTTATTTGTTTGGGGTTTTTAAAATTTATTTAATATTCATTTTCTTCTTTTGTACAGAGGAGGAGGAGAATAAAATCAAGTGTTTAAACATTGATTACTTAACTCTTTTTGGGAAACCTGGCCAGTGATTTGCTTTACCTAGAAGGACATAAAGCCTGATGGTGCTGTCTCGCCAGCTGTGGGGATGAAGGTGCAATAGAAATTTCAGCATCGCTTGGAAGACAGGGCCAGACATACCATCCATTTCATCTGGTGGTTTTGCACAATAACTGCTGTTCTTACGACAGATCCGGGCTGTGTTGCGTGTTCAAACAGCCTGAGGAACACAGCTCTCTCCCAGTCATCATGTGGGCTCTGTGTGAGGAATTCAGCAGTGGTTTGTCCAAAATAAGCATCCTTCTGTACCTGGGCAGGAAACTTCAAACAGAAAACCATGGGAATGGGGGGGTTACACCTTAAGCTTTTACTGCAGTCTCCAATTACTTTCATTGTCAAGGATTCTGAGCAGTGCTGAGCTGCTGAAAATCATCTCCAGGTCTTTATGTTTACACCTTATAAAGAACCATATAAACTTTATACTTCCACAAGTATAATTTGAATTGCAATTGATTTTAGCCCTTGCCTGCAGCAGGAGTTAATTTAAGCTTTGAACGGAGAGAGCTGGACTGGTCAAAATTCCCAGGAAGTCACTGAGGAAAGAAAGGAAAAATAAAGGGTTGGAGACAAGCCCAAAAGATATGTGTAACAAGGCTTAAGGCATGGAGGCTTCAGGGAGGTTAGAGAACTACAGATCCCCAGGAGAGAGAAGAGCTGATGGATCCAGAGACCACAAGCTGGAGACCAAAGGCTTTGCAAGACATGAATCCAGAGGGGCAGAGGATGAGAGTGGAGTGTGGAATTAGGGCAGCAGGGAGATGATGCAGAGCATGTTTTACACACAAGGAGACAGTGGAACATAGGTGTGTGCACAGCTGGCATTCTAGGAACAGCTTATTCAGCATTTATTCACTCTGAAGGAGTGGCTTGGGCTCCTGCCACTCAGTCCTGCCTGTCATTGAGGTAAAAAATAGCACTGTGGCTTTTAACCACAGAGCATTGAGAAGTGAGCGCTCTCTTCATGTTCACCCACGAGGTAATTCTCTACCACAGAAGGTAATTCTGACAGCTGCAGGAGATTCTCCAGGCTGGCAAAAAATCCCTGAGAAATGCTGTAAACATAGCTGTGAATCATCTGATCCTCCAAAACTACTGTTATTAATCCTTGTTAATTAATTAATTAATTAATTAATTAATGTTGTTAATTAATGCTTGTAACTGAGACACTCACTTTCACCTTCACTGGTCAGTTTGACTAAGAAGCCTCGAGACAATTCCTAAAATGAAAGTTTAACAAGATAGGAATTTCTTGAAGCCTAAAGGCAGAAATACCCTCCAAATTGAATCACTGGAAAATTACTTTAAAATATTGCCATGATGTAGGGAGAAAAATGCAAGCATTTTAAGGAAAAAGCATGACATTTTACAAAAGGGCTCTCATGGGACTGACTTGAAAAGTCACAGTTGGATCCTGTTGTGCTGCCTCCTGCCTGCTGCTATCCCAAATAATCTTTGATTACCTTTTATTGCTCACTGAATATAGAATCATGGAATGGTTTGGATTGGAATGGACTTTTTATCTAATTCCAAACCCTCTGCCATGAGCAGGGATACTTTCCACTATCCCAAGTTTCTCCAAGCCCCATCCAGCCTGGCCTTGGACACTGCCAGGGAAGGGACAGCCACAGCTTCTCTGGGCAACCTGTGCCAGGGCCTTACCACCCCACAAGTACAGAACTTTTTCCTAATATCTGCTCTAAGTATTTTCTCTTTTAGCTCAAAACTGTTCACACTTGTCCTGTCACTATCTGCTCATGTAAAAAGTCACTCTCCCTCTTTTTTTATAAGCTCCCTTCAGGCACTGCAAGGCCACAGTGAGGTCACCCCAAAGCCTTCTCTTCCCCAGGCTGAACAATCCCAATTGTTCCCTCAGCCTTTCCTCCCAGCAGAGCTGCTCCATCCCTCTGATGCCCTTGGTGTCCCTGCTGTGGCCTGGCTGCAGCAGCTCCCTGTCCTTCCTGTGCTGGGCCCAGGGCTGGATGCAGCCCTGCAGGGGGGGCTCAGCAGAGTCAGGCAGAGGGGCAGAATCCCCCTTCCCTACTGCCCTGGGGCTCTGGGTGCAGCCAGGGGGGTTCTGAGTTGGGGCATGTCCAGCTCTCACCCACAGCATCCCCAGATCCTTCTCCCAGGGCTGCTCCCACTGCCCATTCCCAGCCTGGATTCATCCCAGGGGCTGTCCTGACCCAGGTGCAGCACCAGCACTTGGCCTGGTTAAACCCCATGAGATTCCCATGGACTACTTCCCAAGGAAGAACAGAATTTCTCTACAGAGAATATGTGACTCACCACAGAGCAAACATAACACTTAGCACCTTGAAACATCACTCACCATTTGAAGCCTTTGCAGTCACAAACCCAAAACAGTTCCAGAAAGTCCAGTGTGTGCTAAAAAAGAACCCAATCTGCCAGTGATTGCTGCAAGCTCTGTAGCACTCTCAGTGCCCTTAAGGTGTTCTTTGTGTGTCCTGAACCCTGCTTGCTGTTCTGACACCAAATCTGCATTGGCAGTGCATCCTCCCTGAACTGCCCATTTGGCAGTGAGGTCCTTTTCTTATATTTGTCATTTAGAACCAGATAAAATTGTTTGCATGTGCAATACTGCATGAATACATTTTGTTTACATAAAATATCACTCATCTTTGAAATGTCTATTCATGTTTGTCTCTGCTTAGTTTACTTCTATGCACCAGTTCCTGGGCTTTTTAATGGTTTGGGGTGATTTCTTTTAAGAACCTTGCCTTCATTCACTGTTTTATCCCAAAATAAAATCAAAATCCCTTGGTTGTGGTTTCTGCCAAGATACTCCGAGTATTTTTTTCCACCAAGTGTATCCTGAATACCACAGCTTGAGATGCTGGAGGTCCATAGAAATAGGACTAGCTCAGAGGATCAGCTCTTGGAGGTGTCCCTGTCACAGGTTCTCCTCAATAAAGGTTACTAATGCAGCCAGTTCTGTCCATGATGTGCCCCTCTGGGGCTGGTGCTGTCAGCCTGGCCTGTCCCAGGGAATGTCACCCATTGCCCAGCTGCAGCAAGAATTAAACCAGCCTGGCCTTCTCTGAGGCACTGAGCACGTCTTAAAAACGAGATTCACTTAATAATTTATAAAAAGAATTTAATATAAACAAAAGACAATTAGGAGACAAAAGAAATAAAGCAAAGGGTTAAAACCCTTTTAACCCTTTGCCGGGTTAAAAGGTCAGGCCGGGTGCCCTGGTGGGTTACCAGGAACACACCTGGTATCTCAGGAGTGTCCTTTTTATCCCATCTTTGCTGTGAGAGGTTAATGCATATTCAAGCATGTCCCCTTCCTGGTTCCACCTTCTTGGATCATGTTATTTTCTGCTGGTCAGCGTAATTTTTGCTGATTATCATTATTCTAGCTGGTCAGTATTATTTTGGAGTTTTTGGTTTCCTTTCTGCTGCAGATGGTCACTTGTTGATAAGGGTCCAGGCCCCTTATACGTCCTCAGAGAGCAGATGGGCTTCATATCTTTCCCCCTTGCCAACGTCCTGGTACCGGCTTTTTGGTAACAGTTTGCTCTCCATTTTCTGCTGCTGATAACAGCCTGTTTTCCACAGCTTGATCCTCCCATTGTCTTGCCTGTTGGAGTTATCTTGCCTTCTCCAGATGAGACGTATCCTTACCATTCAGAATTCCTATCTAAGCCTGTAACTTGCTAAGAGAAAAGAATATAGTGAAAGCATATAATATATTTATCAGAATAATTGTGAAAAGCCAATATTTACAACATTAATTCACAACACACGGAAGCAGTGGGAGGTCAGGTTGGGATTGTTTAGGGATTGCCTGGCCTTGGCATCAGGATTAGACCCTGAGCACACCAGAGTGAGGAGGAAATGTTTCACCCTTCCCTTGCAGTAGGGATGTCAGAGGTAATCCAAGAAACACACACTGTAAAGGGAAAGTTTATTGTAAAACTTAGATCACAGGATCAGAGAACTGTGAACAAGAACAACACAAGAGGCAGAGGAAACAAAGCACTTTCAGTCAAATTCCTGCCCTTGGGGATTTCCTTGCAAGCCATAGTTGCTCCTGAGTCCTGAGTCTTCCTGTGGCTTTTTGGGTTTGATGGGGTTTGTGCAGTTCCACAGTGGTCCCAGGGTGGCTTCCCCGTCCCACCTCTCTGGTGCACAGCTGCTGCCTCTGCTGCCTGCTGAAAGCTCCAGCTGAGGGCCAGTGGATCCCAGGGAAGAGGTTTTTCCCTGGCCCTTCAGGAGAGCCCACTTGATCCAAGGGGGTACATTCCAGCAGCTGGAATATGAAAATAGAAGGGCAGAAATCTATAACACAATGTAGAATGCTCTCCCGCCCTCTCCAGTAAAGTGAGTGCAAGCAAAGAGCTCCTCCAGCTCAGCTTCCCTTTGGAATAACAGTGCAGATCCTGGGTCCTGAGACTGAGATTGTTCTGCTACAGCTCTGTTCTAACTGTTCTTTGTGGATTGAAAGTCAGGTAAAGAACTGCAAATGTTTCCAAAGCATCTTGATGAGAGCAGTTAGTGAGTACAGCTGGTGTGAGGGATGTCAAAATGTGCTTTCAATTTAGAAAGAGACAGTTTTACCTGCAGGATTCAATTTTCCCTTCCAATGGCCACAACATGTTGTGTACAGATTTTTTGATTGAGCAATTTTTTTCTCAGTGACAAACCAGGCCATAAGTGTTACTTCCTCAAGGACTTCACAGAGCTTTCTCCATCCTGCAGCTGAAGGAGAGAGCCATGAAAGGCACCGATAAAGGAGGAATGATATTGCCTGAAAGGACACAGTAGGAAGGATAATTATTGGAGTCAGACAGGGTCCCAAGAGCCACTGAAGCACATGGGCAGAGCTCTGGTGGCATTCCCTGTTTACTCATCACAGCTCTGTTTTCCTGGTGCCACCCGTTTCTGTGTTGGCTTGAACTTTCCTGAGCAGGAAAAGCCCTCAGGCATCATTTCCACCTGTGATCAATCTCCAAGGAAAAGAGGGCAGAGCATGGTGTTGCCACTCCCTGCAGGTCACTCTCATACTTCTCACCACCTCCTTCACAGGTCACTGTGGGTTTCATTGTTCTGTTTTTTGCCCTGTTCAGCCTCTGTTGGGACCCTGTTCTTCAGGCCTTGTTGGTCTCTGCTGGCCTCCTTCCTGTGCCCTTCCTCAGCAGATCTTAAATCTGACACTCCTTCCCTTCCTTACACAGGAATGGGGCTGATTTTATGCCCAGAGCTGTGCTGCTGTAGGATCCTTTCCCTTGTGCTGATTCCCATTTGCCTCACAGGCTCTGGGATGCCATGGAACAGACAGTCTGGGACAAGGAAAGGTTTATCCACACTCACACCTGACTTTATTCTGTCCATCCTGGCCATGGGACCTGGCAAGGAGAGGGGTTGCCCTTCCCTGTCGGATCCCAGCCAAAAATCTGTGCTGCCCTTCGCTTGTGGCTGGAGGCAAGACCAGGCTGTGGCCAGGTGGGGAAGGGTCTCCTTGTGCCCAGGCAGGGCTGTGGATTGATGTGACTTGCAGAGTCGAGATCTGTTTGGGATCACCTCTGCCCCCAGCCTGGACTCCTTTCCTCTGGCAGTGTCTGCCTGGAAGTGCCACCTCCAGCACGAGACAGTCCCAGACTCCTCCTGTGCTCCAGTGCCAGCTCTTCCAGAGGGGATCCATCCAAGCTCAGACTCCATCAAAGAAAAAAGGGTGGGCTGAGCTCAGCCACGAGTCTCAAGGGAGGCTGCAGGACTCCCTGGGAGAAGAGATTGAGCAGCTAAAGAGAAATGAGACACATCCCATCCATGTTTCCTACAGGAAGCTGGGGATAACATAGCCTGGACCTCTTATTTTTAGCTCTCTTTCTGATACCTTTTTAAAATTGTCACATCTTTTTCACACATATTTTGTGTTGTTTGGGATCCACCACAAGGTGCAGTTCCTACTTCACCAAATCCAATGGCTGTGCAGTCATAGTCACTATAAGCTCTGGTTATATTGAACCTAAACAAAGGGGAAAAGTCAAATTTGATTACATTCCTGACAGGCAGAGTGGCACCTGGCCTGGCTGCTAAGCTGTGTTACTGTCACAGGGATCAGGAACTGCCTTGCTGCAATCTCCCTCCTATTCCTCATTTTTGTTCCCCACATCTCCACAAGAGTTTCTGGGCAGTGCTTTCCCATCCAGACCTTCCCCTGCTTTGGTCCCCTCCAACCAGTGGTGCTGACATCACCCTCTCTCTTGTCTCTGCCTCCTGTCTCCTTCCTTCCCCCAGGAAACTGCATCCAGTCAGATTCTTCCTTCGCCAGCAGAACTACAGCTGTGTCCTCTCCTGCCACCCTGATGGGACAGGCCTGTGCTCCCTCGCACTGAAAGGCTCCTTTCCCTTGGCACAGGCATGTGCTGAAGCATCTGGATCTCAAGGAATCAGGTTCCCCCCAGCTACAGTTCCTGATCTCCCTTGCGCTCTCTGCCCTTTGCTCTGGCTTTGGGATTTTCCTGTTCCCAGACATTGCATGGCAGGGACTTGCTGGATTGAACTCACATGGTTGGGTCATGTTTCATGTTGTTGATCCACTTCCACTCCTTTTTCTTTTCAAAGTATTTGAGACCAAGTAAGTAGTAGTCATATTTTGATACTGAGAGAAGGTAACTCTGGAAAGGAAGCCAACAATGGGAATACATGAGAATGACATTTTCTTCACCAGAGGCAAAAGTCTCAGTGTTAAATAGCCAGCACAGAGAGTGCAGTATGCCTCCAGCCACAGCACATCTTCCCACAGCTCCAGAGGATGAGTTTCTCCATTTTGGAGGTCCCTTATGAATATAACAAATGCAATAATACACCTGTGGTGCTATTATAGGTGTATTTTGAAGTTTAACAACTGTGACTTGATACCTGGGGACACTTTTCCCTTCTGCTGGGGGTGGAAAAGCCTTTTCAGGTTTTGTCACAGCCATGGATCTCATAAAGTGTCTGTTCAATCTCCATGGTCTGTGTGCTAAATCCATGTAAAACCCCAGCCAGCTGGGCAGGGAGTTTGCTCCTTACCATGGCATCAGGCCTGGGCACAGAAGCTTCCAGGGGCAGGACTCCAAGCCCCAGGAGACCTCTCCCTGTGCAGAGCTTTGCTCCCACTGCCTGGGCTGGGGTGTCCATGGCTGGCAGCACGTCCCATAGCCCAAGGACATGTGACAGGAGCTGACACAAATGTCACTGCTGAGCCCTTGGCCAGGCAGCTCCCGCCTCTGAGTGGCTGCCCCAGGAGTCTCACCATCTCTTCCCTGCTGTCAATGACCACCAGGTCTGACTCCATGGTAGTGCATTCTCCACGGGAGGCTTCCCAGTCCTTCATTTTCTTCTCTGGAGAAAAGAAGTAGCATTTTCTCCCATGTTTTCTCCATAGTGGAGGGCACCCTGCAGAAGGGAATAAGAGGTGTGGAAAATCCATGCTCATGCAGACCAAAGGATGCCACGACGAAAGAGAGGTCAGAGAGGAAATTCCAGCCACAGAAATCCCCGTGTGCTCCTGCTGGGAATTGTCAACAGAGCATCAGGGATCCCCCACAGCCTCTGGAGCTGATACCAGCCCAGAATCACCAGGCAAGAGCCAGACACGGAGCAGCACGGCAAACATGATCCAGCCTTTCCCATCTTTGATCAGGGCATACAGAGAAATGCTCAGGGCACAGAAGCAGCTCTCAGATTCCTGAAGTCTGTTTTGCCTGATGCAGAACTGGGCAGCAGAGGTGCTACTGAAAGCACCAACATTTGTGTGCATTGCCAGGCAGGGCAGTGGGAGGATCTGGGGTGGGAGCTGGGATTCAGGAAGACAAGGCCTGCAGGAGACACTTTGGTTGGGGATCCAGCAGCTCCTAAAGAGCAGCATGGAATTACACTGAGGTCAAAGGCTGGCAATGGAGGGGCCTTGGGAAAGCAACACAAGCACATTGTCCATCCTGCTGCCTGCAGGGCTGGGGTACCAGAGGGATTGTTCCTCCTGTCCCTTCCCTGCCTCAGACTGCTCTGATCTGGCAGCAGAGAGGCATCAGTTCTTTCCTGTGGAACAGGAATGCAGAGCTGGATCACCACTGGTTCCAAAGGAGGTGCAAATGCAAACCCTCCATGGGCTCTAAAGCTCATCCTGGGAGTGTTCAGTTTGTATTCCTGACATGGCAGAGGGGTTGTTTTCCTTCTGAACAAAATGCTGACACAGCCCCCTTTCTGTCCTCCTTAGCATTCAATCCAACAGGCTTCTGGCAACTCCCTTTGGAATGACAGAAGATTGCCTACCTAATTCCTCTTCGCGGATGTGGGACAAAGTTGTTGAGCTGTTTTGGCTGCCTGCAGTTGGACCATCTGGAAATAAGAACACAGTTTCTGCTTGCAAGGAATGACCACTGTCAGAGCTTTGCTGGAGCTCTCTGACCCCCCCCATAACCCAACACAGAATACAGACTCTGTCTCTTTGCTCATGATTCTACTATAAAAATTCATAAAATGATCATGTCAGGTTCCACTGAGTAAAAGGCAATGCAAGAATGCAGTTCATTTAAATAACTTATATCTTAGTAACAGTGTAGTTTGCATTACCCTACAAGACCCTATGGAAAATTAATAAAAAACTAAAACTTAGAATAAACTCAAAATGCAACAGTTTTTATTTGGAGCACAAGTGAAACCTGTGTGCTCTTGAACTTATAAACTACTTTGATTTCATTTCTTGAGTTTGATCTAGATCTCAAGTTTCTTAGGAGTATTTTTTCAGGTCTGTAGCTGTTCTGAGCCAGTACTGAGCCCCACAAAGGAACTATAACTAAAGCCAGTCCTGGATCTAAGTCTAAGGACTCCTCTTTCCATGTTAGACTTATGTTTTGCTGTTTGACATTTTATAAATGCCAGGGCATTGTCACATATCAATCCTGAACTCTTTGCCTTGAAAAAGAAGAATAAATTGCCTCCCCCAGCCCTATTTTTTTAAGTTCCAAGGATCAAAGGCTTTGCCGTGTCTTCCCCATGTGCATCTCTGAGCTAGTGGCAAACTCTGGGACTTGAGAGCGATTGGTTGTGGAAGCTTCTCAAGCTTTCTCAGCTGTGAAAGGATGGAATGAAACAAGCAAAACCATCTGAAATTTAAAAATGGTTCTTTGAAAACAAGGAAATACCAAATGGATCTATTAATTTTTTTTCTGATGTAAGATTTTTTTTTGGTCCAATATATTATTTATCTTTTTGTGTAGCTCAAAATATGTTATGATCTTAAGCAAACTCCTTTAAGATGTGGTTTATTTTCCTCCTTCAAATGAGCTTTAATTCATAATTATTTTAAGATTTTTTGTTTCATGGACATCTTGGTCTCATGATACAACCTCACCACCTTGTGGGATTCTCACAGTTAGCAATGATATTACTGGTAAGCATTATCAAATCTTAACTTGTTTCTTCAAAACATTTGTATAATAAATTCTTTGTCATTTGAGTGTTGTCAGTTTTTCATTTGGATTTTGGCTTTTACATCTGTTGGAATTTTAATCTTTCAAACCACCTGACTCTTACAGATTTCCTCTTTCATGGTTGGCAAAAAACTGCTGTCCTTTGCCTTTAAAGCAAACTTCTGTTCCCACTGGATTTATATGTCATGGCCTGGACATCAGTCAGTGGGAGAGAGACACAAATTAATTGCTGTTATGACACTAACAAAAGAACTTACATGTGATTATTAAATATACTGCCAGGACCAGTATGAGGATTATCACCACCAATATAGCAGCATGTTTTCTGGAACAACAGCTTTTACCTACAGAGAAAAATAAAGATTAGGGGACCAGCTGAACCAGAAGCACCTTTCCTCTTCATTCCAAAGTGCCCTTTTCAGGCCCACACTGGGAATCTGGGGCCTTCCAGGTTTGCAAGCTGGAGCCAGGCTGAATGTCCGAGTGCTTCCCCACTAGCTCTGGTCACCTGTGCTCAGGGAACTGAATAGATCCCAGCTTGCAGTGGGTTTGAGGAGAGGTGAAAAGGAGGAGAGTCCTAGCAATCAGTGGCCACCCTCTGCTTCCTCATCTCCTTTATTCACTTTTCACTACTGCTGGGGGCAGGAGCCAGGGCTCAGGGGTGGCTGTGTATGGCCCATCTTACCCTTCTATTCCTTTGTCAGGGAAAGCCAACAAGTGTTTAGGGGCACAGAATGCAACACCTCAGCTGCCCCTGCTCTGAGTGTGGAAAGCAGACAATTGTGTCTTCATGGTTTTGTGTCACTGCATGTTTGGGGCATCAGAACCAGCCCCTCTCCCCTTCTTGTTTAAATTCCCATCACTTTATCAGATAGTTAAACTCACCAGATGATTTGCAGTCTGCTGCAGCGTTTGTGTCTTGGGATTTCACTTTAACTTCTGCGTAGGTACAATCTGAGTCTGGGAATAAGAACAGAGCACAGAGAGAGCTGTGAATCAACTTAAATTAAACAAAAATGACTGAAATTGTGAGAAATGCTGAACACAGGACAGCAACTGGTTGATGTGACTGTGGCTAACTATGCACAAATTATATTTTTCTCCATTATAGGCACTGATCTGTGCTCTGTGCTGGCCAGGGACAGGACCCAAGGGATACAGCTGGAGCTGTATCAGGACAGGGTCAGGTTGGATATCAGGGAAAGGTTCTTCCCCCAGAGGGTGCTGGGGCACTGAACAGTCTCCCAGGAAATGGTCAGCCCCAAGGCTGCCAGAGCTCCAGGAGAGTTTGGACAGAGCTCTCAGGGATGCACAGGGTGGGATTGTTGGGGTGCCTGTGCAGGGCCAGGAGTTGGACTGGATGATCCTTGTGGATCCCTTCCAGCTAAGGATATTGTGAGTCCATGTTCCATGATGACACTTTCATCCTTGGAGCACTTGCTATGGGCAGGAGCAGATCTGGTTTCTCTTCAAGGCAGACAATACCAGAGGGGACAGGGGCACACACTCACACGGTCAACCTTGACAAAAGGGGAGGAAAGTGCCAAAGGTGGCCTAAGGTTGTTCATCCAGACAGGAATGGTGAGAATGACTAAAACATCAAAGCCTGAAAACTGCAGATTGTGCTAAATTTGGAGGGGTTTGAGATCTTACCAAAATTAACAAGATAACATGGAGAATAGTGAAATCTCTTCTATCATCTGCAGGTAATAAATACAAACCAGCAGGGAAGAAAACATATGGAGAGGAAAGAAAGATCAGAGGGAGATAAAAAGTGGGTAGAAACTAAAAAAAAAAGATGTTGCAATGTTATAAAACTCTCAAAGTCATCGTGATATACAACACTGAGCCTCCTGGGTTTTATCACTGTACAGAGCTAAGACAGAAGCCAGGGTTTTGAGCTCTTTCCAGAAGATAGAGACAATATCTGGGAAATCTTGTACATAAACTCAGTGAACACACAGAAGAGCTGGTAGGGATTTCCCCAAAAGGCACAAGCAGAAAAACATAAAAATGTTACTAGAAATCTATCAAAATTTTGAATAGGAACACATGGGTTAAATTATAAAGAAAATGGAACTTGTAATCACGTGGCATCTATTGTGGGCAATTGAGCCCTGAATTAAGGTGCTGAAAGGGGTAGTAAAACCTTGTTTCCACCCATCTGAAAATAGATGCAGAGGGTCCACCCTTTGTGCAAAAGACAAACACTGGATGTCAAGAAATAATTTCTGTCAGAGTGAAAGGAGGGTTAGAAAGGAAGGAAAGACAAAAGAAAATTAAATACAGAGACAAACTGTATGAAGTCGTATTTTTTAGGATGTACTTTTATGCAGATGTTGCAAAAAAGATGTTAAATTTTACATCAAATCTACTCCATCCTGAGCAGTTTGCTGCAGGAATCCCTGTCTGCTGGGGGACAACAAACCTAGGGCAGGAATAGTGGATGTTCAGCTCTGGAATGGTCTTCCAAATGGATAAAAAACTACTCTGAATATCACACCAGAGATTCTCCCTCACACTTGCACCTTAGCAAGAGAAAAGTAGATCTTTTAACAGCTGGCCTTTGTAAGTATAAACAATCCTCCCTGGACACTCCACCTGCAGTTTTCCAGCACTTGCCCTCATGTTTTCCTTGTGCTCTTTGGGACTTTGGTACTCCAAGGAACTCTCTCAACATATGCAGGAGAGAGACTGGAGAATGCAAAAAAAAGCTGAGTGCTCAGCACTGGACCTACCTTGGACATCAGGTACCGTCGGGATTCTGGGTCTGGTTGATTGAGGCAAGTTCAAGTCAGCATAGAGGACATATTCTGCCATTCTTGTTCCTGCTTCTCCTTTTTCCCTCCCTCAGCTGTTCTGAGGCTGAGGTACCCAGTCCTCTAGGCTGGGTACAACTCAGAGATCCCACCCCTTTCTAAAGTTCAGGAGGAAGTTCTTGACTCTTCCACTCATGCATAAACTTCTGATGAAAAGTCTATTTCTGCTTAATCTTTTGATGGCACAGGGTTCTATGTCAGTAACATGAGGAAATATAAGTTTATGGCTGCTCTGAAGTCACCTGTGCTGGGAAGTGGTTCTGGCATTGAAGTGTCTTAAGTTCCTGAAGCTTCATACGCTCACACACAAAACACTTTGCCCTGCTGTGTCCTGAGCACTGTGGGCTCTGTGCAGCTCACAGACTGCTTCTCTACAAGGGAATTCAAGGGTGGGGTGGGATGACAAACTGAGGACTCCTTCTCTGTTTAATCTCTTCTCAGCAATCCCTGTTCTCAACACTGTTCCAGCACAAATCCAAAACGTAGCCCATACCAGTTGCTGTGAAGGAAATGAACTCTATCCCAGCCAGAACCAGCCCAGGGCCCTAGAATTTAAGAAGGGTGTGAAGGTCCTTGAATGGAGGATCAGAGGAAGAGAACAAAGTTGGTGGAAGGGTTGGAAGGAATGTCCTGTGCAGAGCAGCTGAGGATTTCATGTTTTTTCCAGTCTGGAGAAAAGGAGGCTGAGGGGAGGCCTCTTTTCTCTCTGGAGTCCCAGCACAGGAAGGACATGGAGCTGTTGGAGACAGTCCACATGACTCAACAAAGCTGAGTTGAGTTGAGAAGCTGGAGCACCTCTGCCATGATGAAAGTCAGAAAATTTTTCAACCTGGACAAGAGAAGCTTTGGGGTGACCTCATTGTGGCCTTCCAGTGCCTGAAGAAAGATGCTTCTAGTGCTAGAAGAAAGAAGGAGAGAGACTCTTGACAAGGGCCTGAGGTGACCAGCAAGAGGCAATGGCTTCACAGTGACAGAGAGGAGGTTTAAATTGGATATTAGGAAGAAATTCCTCCCTGTGAGGGTGTTGAGGCCCTGGCACAGGTTGCCCAGAGATGCTGTGGCTGCCCCATCGCTGGAAGTGTCCAAGGTCAGGTTGGAGAGGGCTCTGAGAAACCTGGGGTAGTGGAAGGTGTCCCTGCCCATGGCAGGAAAGGAGGAATGAGAGCATCTTAAGGTCCCTTCCAACCCAAACCATTCCATAATTCTATGATCACTGTATTTCTGTCTTTACAGAACTATAAGACATTGCTTTTCTGTTTTAGAACAAACTAGGAAAAAGCTGAGTGATTATTTTTAATAAAATAAATATCAATTCTGATTGAACCTTTTTCTTCTACAGAAAGACAATTTTCTATTATGGAAGTATTCTCTCAGGGCCATCAGATGTGGAACACCCTCTGCTGCCGGTGGTAATGGCAGAGGTTTCTTCAAAGGGCCAGGGATGTGTTCTGGTATTCTGTGCCTCACATCCCATAATCAGAGGCCCAGAAAAGCCAAGCAATCACCAGCTGTGTGAGAGAAAGAGGAGGAAGTGAAGCAGTTTCTGTGGTGGTTGATGACTCAGAAGTTTGTACTGCGGTTAAATGAAGGTTTGCAGTGGCCCTCAGACCTGACAGGGAGATGTGTCCAGAAATTCTGTGACAGGCAGATGAAGTACTGGGGCCTGAACAACAGACCCTGACCGAGGCCTCAACAACAGACACTGAGCCAAAGTTGCCTCTAGATGAACCTTCCAGCCAAATGTTATTTATATGTGGATATAGACATAGACATTGATATAGATATAGAGATAGATATATTCAATTATGAATGAACTATTGTTGTATGTGTTTGTTTATTGGCAAAACAAGTGTTGTATGTGTTTGTTTATTGGCAAAACAAGTGTTTACTTTGCATATCCAGAAACCAGATAAGGCCACATCTGGCCTAATTAGAGTGGTACACAATCAAAGAAAACTCCCTTGGTTCACCCTTGAGCCCTGGCCAGACTTTGAGAGAAATCTAACAGAAGAATGAAACTAGAAATTTTGTCAGCTTGTCTGTTTAAGAGTATGAAAGCTGGGCTGCTGTCACAACAAAGTCAGTTGGAAGCCGTTCCACATCTCCAGAAAGGTGGAATGGGTTGGAAAGAATCTTAAAGATCATCTTGTTCCAACCCCCTGCCATGGGTAGGGACACCTTCCACTATCCCAGTTTGCTCAGAGCCACATCCAACCTGGCCTTGGACACTGCCAGGCATGAGGCAGCCACAGCTTCTCTGGGCAACCCAAAGTATTCTGTGATTTTTCAGCTTCACCAAGCCTTAATTCATTTTTCATTCAGAATTTTTTTTTGTATTAGGGAATTGCATTACTAATTTGCCAATTGTAACACAGACTGAGTGTAGGAAACATCCATTGAGTTCAATCAACTTTTTTGGTTTTCACTGCTGTTTTTCTGGAGTGACAAGCACATGATAGCCCCAATCCCACAAATTTTGCCACAAAAATAGTGTCCCTCTTTCCTGTGGAATATTGCCTACGCTGATCAGCAGGTTCTGCTGCATCTTGAGGGAGTGCTGACTGTGTGGGCCGGTGCTGTTTGAAGAAGGAAGGTGCAACACCCCACTGAGTTGGTGCTTTTGAACTCAATTTGACAAGCATGGTGCAAATACCATGGAGGGGAAGTTAAAAGGGGGCTCCATCTCCCCTTGTAAATCCTTTCATGTGATACTGAGATGCTGCATAACTTAATACTGGAGACAGCACACAGGGTAGTTTGTATTGTATTTCTGAGCACTCAGCCACACTTTTCAGCATTTAAATGTATACTTATTATTTTTCTGTGGTATTGTGTATTTCCCACAAAACTATGATGGGGAGTGGTAATATCTTCAGTAAATTTTTTTTATGTGGGCCTGTATGGGTGGGACAATGGCCCTGTATGTCTGTGTTAATAATGAGATGTCTGTGTTAATAATTCTGTTGCAATTCATTAGCACCTAATGAATTTGGCTTCCTAAACTCTAGCTAAGGGCATGGGCAACATCTGACAGCATTTTCCTAACAAATAACCCTTCACACTCCCACTTCACTCCTACTCTTGCCAGCTTTATTTCCATGTTTCCAAGACCAGTCATGTCCATCTTTTGGCCTGTGCAATCGCAAACTCAGTGTGGCCATGACCAAGAAGAAGGGGAGGTTTTTAACATACCAGGCTCTTGTCCAGTACTTACGTTGTGCAGCCTCAGGTCAGAGGTGAAAAATCTTCTGGGATCACTTGAGTCCAATGGGTCTCTGTACCTCATCAAGAGAACAGATTTGGTAAAGATGTCATTACAGGATCCAAATTCAAAGATAAATAGTCCGCAAATCAGCTACTGTGAAATAGATTAAATATGTTTAATTAAATATACATTATGAATGGAGAATGTAGTAAACACTTGGAAAAACAAGTGTTTTCCTTTGTGAAAGTAAGCCTTTGGGCTGGTTTTTCATCCCTTGACAATACTCAGATAATGACTTTTTGGTTGTAGTAAAAAGGAAAATTAAAAACCAAGGATGTGAGAGAGAGGCTTAGAAGGAAGATTTCAAATAGAAAACCTCACTTAAATTCCACTTACAGTAACTAGGATGTCTTTGTCTCAAACTGTCTTTTCCTTGGGTTCAGTGGATGCGCTTGACAGCTGAGCAGGTGTGGATTTGTCTGGATTTCATGTGCTTGCTTACTGTATCCAGACCTAAATTAATTGGGAGATATTTTCTGATATGTAAAAGATTTGAAAAAAACGGTAACTTTTTGGGACCAAAATGATTTTCTAATATAAACAAAGACTTTCCACTATCAAGGAGGAAAATACCATTGTTAATGTTAAATATATTTTCTGAAAATAATGGAATGTTTAATACTTTGGTAATCAAATATTTCAATTTTTCCTTTCAGGATGTTATTTTAGGAGAAATTAAATGCTTTGGGTTTATCCCCAAACCCTTGTTTAAAATCCTTATTGAACAAATAAGAACAAGTGTTTCTTCTATTTTTTCCTGCAGTGATTCACAGCCAAAAGGTCACTGTCTGGGTCACAATCCAAAAAATATTTTAAAAGTGATTATGACAAGAATCATTTTGCAACCAGCTGATGACAATAAGGAAGGTTGGCTACCTCACTCCCTCCAAAGTGTACCCGTTTTTAGATAACATTGCAAAATATTTTGTGCAAAATATATTTTTGAAAGAGTGTGAAAGAGGAATTGAAAACAGCTGAATAAGTAAAACCTCTGCAACTGGCAGTGAACTGCTTCACTGTTCATCAGTTTTTTTCTCTGTATCTGGACAAAATTAAGCTGCCTGTTTCTCTTTTATAATTAAAGCAAAACAAAACAGCAGCCTGGTTTTTATTTAGCAGCCTTGGTGGCATTTTTCCCTCTCTAAACTCCAGCTGCTTTAACATCAAGTGTCTATCCTTAGTTGTCGCCTGATAGTGGAAAAAACAAGAATTCCCAAGGATATCCTATCCTATGCCTGACATACTTAAGCGTGCCAGGGCCTCACCACCCTCACAGGGAACAATTTCTTCCTCATATCCAATCTAACCCTGCTCTCTGTCACTGTGAAGCCATTCCCCCTTGTCCTGTCACTGCAGACCCTTGTCAAGAGTCTCTCTCCATCTTTCCTGTGGGCTCCCTTCAGGCACTGCAAGGCCACAGTGAGGTCACCCCAAAGCCTTCTCTTCCCCAGGCTGAACAATCCCAGTTCCCTAAGTTTTTCCAGGCTGAAGTTTCCCAATCCTCTTAGCCTTTCAATATACCTTTTTTTTTCAACATACTTGGAGCATTAGCAGTGGGGGACCCTTAGCAGAGGGGATTGAAGAGGAAATCTGTTCAGCTTACAGGGAAGCAGATGCTTCCACTTCGGTAGCCTTCTCCTGATACAATGTCAGATCCAGGCAGCTCTCCATGAGGGCTCTCCATGTGCCACCCAGCCAATTGTGTGGATGTGCAGCTCAACCCCATCAGCTCCTGTTCCTTATGGTGCCAGCAGAGGTAGAACATGCTGAAAGGATCCAGGAAGGTGGGGAAATTCCGCAGCAGAGATGCAAGCTGGCCAGAACAAGAGCATGGGAGGAACAAGAGGAAGAGCATTCTCTTGATTCCTGAAAAGAGCATCACCATCATCTCTGCAGTCTCTGATACCTCTAAGTCTTGCTGATACCTTGGGCAGCTATGAGAAGACCAGTTTATATGGAAGTGCCGAGGCTGGGCCTGTTGCCAGGAAGGAGGGCTGGAACCCGACTGATCTATATTCAATTTAAAATGTAAGGAAGATCAACGCTTTACATAACATGCCCTGGCACCTTGCCTGAGTGAAACTGTACTAAGCCATCTCATATACATCTTTTAACATTTTTAACAGCTGTTTTGTACTACAGGACCAAAACAAGGCAGCCAAGTGTTTACCTCCTACCCAGAACTCCTCAGGGTGGGTGAATGTTGGCTCTCCTCACCAAGGAAAAGGGGCTCTTCTGATGAAATTGTCTTGCTGTTGCAGATTCTGTAATGAGCCCTGATTGTGCCACTGTGGCAGGATGGTTATGGACAATTTTCTTGGAAAGAAGCTCAGTCTTAATGCC